AATTATTTGTGGATAGACCCATGTCCCTCATTATGCTGTACACCTGGCAGGGAAATGAACCAGAACTCATTCATCTTTGTGTCCCTGCCTCATAGCTGGAACATGCTCAGTAAGTATCTGTTGAGTAAAGAGTGGATGGGTTGTGTTTTCTGACCGGGAGCTCTGTTCTTTGTGTTGCCCATGGTTAGAGAGCTACACGTAAAGTGAGAAGGAAGGACAAGTGTTTTCCTAAGTGCTCATAGTTTACAGCAGAAAACACTGCTTTTGGCTGTGATTTGGGAAGGGCTCTTGGTAGTGAAAGTCAGCCCATAGGGACTTTAATATCTGCAGACCCAAAGGCACTAAATCAGAGCCGACTCTGTAAAGCTGTTTGGAAAATTTATTTTTAAATTAGTGTACAGTAAAATCGAATTGCTGTACAGTTCTATGCATTTGGACACATGGGAAGATGAGTGTAATCACCACCATAATTAGGATGTAGAACACCACCCTCCCAAACTCCCCCTGCTGTCCCTTTGTGGGTATACCCTTCCCTACCCATCGACCCTGGCAACCACTGATCAGTGCTCCATCACTACAGTTTTGTCCTTTTGAAAAATCTCATATAACTGTACACAACCTTTTAAGTCTGCTTCTTTTACTCAGCAAAATGCCCTTGAGATTCCTTTAGGTTGTGTGTATTGATAGTTTGTTGTAGCCTACCTTTGATTTCTTTGGATGACTTACGGATTACTTGCCAAATCCGGTCTCCCTTTTGTCCTACTTAGTGTGGCTTTTCAATACTCAGAACTCATCCCTGAAAATATATGTGATTCTTTCTCTTTATTTAAATAGAATATTACTTGCTGTTCTTTCCCTCTCTTCAAATCAGGGCTCTTTAAATCAGGGTTCTTTGAATGTTTTTGATTGTGAACCACTCACAGTAAAAGCTTTCTGAGAATGCACTCCTACTATAGGTATATTTATTTATTTACAACTAATACTGCTGAACTCACATATTGTGTATGTTACAAACATACATGAAAATTGAAACTTCAAAAAGAATAAGAAAATATAAAAATACAAATTTTAATGTTTTACTTTCTATTCTCCAACAGGTAGATCTTCTGTGCTTCTACTGTGGGGTAGGTACCTCAATTTGGAGACTACCAGCTGCTAGGAAGCTGCAATTGGACTAGTAGATTGTTTTCTACTAGTCCCAGCACCAGAAGGCTAGCTGGGAGGCCACCCCCATCTGAGCTACTTGCCTTTGGTGCTATTGGGCATTGAGGTATCAGAGACCACAAGTGGACAGACACCTTAAGTAGTCACTACCAAACAGATCTGCACACGTTTTTTCAATCTATTCCTAAATCCAGCCACTTTGCCTAGATTCTGGCATATTCCACAGTGTGTCATAACCCATTAGAATTACTTCCCACCCTGGCTGCTATGGCTCAGTGGATTGAGCGTTGGCCCATGAGCTGAAAGGTCACCAGTTTGATTCCCAGTCGGGGCACATGCCTGGGTTGTGGGCCAAGTCCCCACTAGGTCCCTACCCGAGAGGCAAATGATTGATATTTCTCTCCCTCTCTTTCTCCCTTCCTTCCTCTCTCTCTGAAAATAAATACACTCTTTTTTTTAAAAAGAATTACTTTCCCTTGGCAGAAAATGGAACTGTGGCCAGCCCCAGGAAACTTGTGAAATAGGACAGGTTTGTCTGCAGTGCCCAGTCTTCCTGTCATGAGGTCAATGGCCTTCTCCGTCCCCTCTATCTTTCCATAGTTGGCTACTACCATAGACTAGTGAGGTGCTGGTTTGTGTTTCCTCTCTGGCAGAGACTTAGACAAGCATTTGAGAGCAAGAAGTTTCTGTGGAATGTGAAGGCAAATGCAGTAGGGGAGTAGGGGAGTGAGAGAGGAAAGAGGAACAGCTAAGACAGCCAAGGAGAAGTCTAGCCTATAGAGGTGGAGAGGCAGCCGTTTTTCAGTCACAGCAGACAGACCCTTTTCTCTGCCTTCTCAAAAGTCTAATTGCAGCAGTATAATTACGGCCACAGTTCATTCTGATTTACTTTATCTCTCCCATTTCTTTTTATTTTTTAAAAGGTTTTTAAAACATATTTTATTTATTTATTTTTGGACAGAGGGGAAGGGAGGGAGAAAGACAGGGAGAGAAGCATCAATGTGTGGTTGCCTCTGCTGTATTCCCTACTGGGGACCTGGCCTGCAACCCAGGCAGGTGCCCTAATTGGAAATCAAACCAGCGGCCCTTTGGTTCACAGGCCGGTGCTCAACCCACTGAGCCACACCAGCCAGGGCTTTACCTCTTCCATTTCACACCCTTGTTAAGTACTGTAAAATATACTCATCTACAAGAACACACTCATCTCTCCCTCACCCCTTCTCTTCTGGTTGACTCTTATCTCTGGCTGCTCAATCGTCAGGTCTCAGCCTGGGCATCACTTCCAACAAGCCTTCCCTCATCCCCCTTTCTGGCTCTTTCTCTGTGTCCCTATTTGCCCTGTTAGAGATTTTATCATACTATATTGCTTCCATTTACTAATATAATAAATATTATGTGCCTGGCACTGTTTTAGGTACCTGGAATTTATATTCGATTAGGGGAGACAGATTTAAATTTGTCATTTTATTTTAACTTCTCATCTACCTATATGTTTGCCTCATCTAATCGTTTCCATTTTGTTCACCACTTATGTCTGTCTCTCAGGATAGTGCCTGCCATGTAGGTGGTGCTCAATAAACATGTGTTGAATGAAAGAGCACAGGGCATTTTAGTTAAGGGTGATGGCCTTTTCTGGGGGAAAATGAGCTCTCATATTTCCTATTGGCTGTTTGGATATAATGATGTGCCCATTCAGGGATAAGTTGACCTACCTCCACTGGTAGGGGTATAATTCTGTTAATGAGTGAGTTTGGAACTGTTAACATTACTTTACCCATTATCTTTTCTTTTTTCAGGCTAGGACAACACATCCGTGCTCAGCTAGAGGACATCCAGGGAACATCTGAATAAAGGCTGGAAACATCATTCTGTGAATATCAAGGTACTGACTCAGGCAGTATAGTGGAATGGTTATAAGTAGAGGTTCTAGAGTCAAAGTGCCTGGGTTCAAATCCAAGGTCTGTCACTCTTTTGCTATTTGACTTTGGGCTATAGTCCCTAATGCATGAATAGTATATACCTCATATGATAGTGTGTGGATTAAATAAGATTAACACATGTAAAATTAATAAATGCCTAGAACATAGTAAGTACTCAATACATGTTACTGTCATTGTAATTTATTCACATACATCAACACTCATTTAATAGTTGGAAACTGACTCCAATTATTTTTCATGGTGCTCAAAGTAGTATTTTTATCATTCTTTGTACAATGGGGAAATAGGGTGACGTTCTTCATTTTAAGCAAATTCTAAGTTTTAGACAAGTCACATAAAGGGCATAGCCAATCCAATTCATGGTCCAGAAGCTGGTCATTAAAATAATCACCTAAATCATGAGTTCTTTCCCTCTCTTTCTTTATTTGTGTGATTAAACACATATTTGGTGAGTACTTGTGCATTTGGTGCTGGGAATGCCACGGGGAATGAATGGATCCTTTCCCTTCAAGATTTCACATGTAAAATGACAAATTACAGTGCGCTTCGGGAAGTTCCATAATTGGATGCACACACGGCTTTGAGTGCCAGAAAGCAGAGTGACTAACTCCCCTTTGGTGGTTCAGGAAAGGCTTCACACAGAGGAGGTGACATTTGAACGACTGTATCTAGACATAGCCATCATTTAATCACTGTGGATTGAATAGGCATTTGGTTGGAAACAGCCATATAACGACATTGTCCACTATTTTTGCGGGGAGCCTGGGTAATTATGCTATCATTTACAATGTGTATAGCAGCCTCATCAGGTCCTGGTCTTGGAGTCCCCGCCATGGAAACCTGTACGGTTACATTACTTCATAATGAGCTCCTCTGATAACATTTAATATGCTAATAGGAGTAGGGAAGCCCAGAGCTCCCTTTCCAGTTATTTTTAAAGTGACTCCATTAGATTAAATAGTAAGCCAGGTAAATGTTTTACTGGATCTCCTGTGGCACCCAATTGCAGAAAGGAATTGGCTAAAGAGCAGTATGGGTGGGGTTATAAAGTGATTATGGCTGGAGTCCTTTAAATCCTAGCTCTGGATGCCTAAGGCCAGTAAGGTAAGGAAGGCCATATGCTGTGAAACCAACTAGGAGAAGTGTGGGAGGAAAATCACTGTCAGTGCAGCTGCAATCAGTGTGACTCTGGGAATGAGGTCACCCCTGGATTGCCTCAGAAGACAGCCAAACTATGGCTGGTGACCTCCAGTACTGACATCTGCACTTTGATTATTCACGTGTGTCTTCTTCCTCTAACTCAGCGAAATTACAGGTCAACCTTCCTTTTCCTTTCTGTTGATGGAGGGGAGTGAATTTCCCTTTCACAGATGAGTTCTCCAACAAGCGGCTAATTGAATAACTGGGGGAATAAAAATGTCATATAGATAAATTTGCAGCATAGCACCCAACAACTGCCCCTTTAACCCAGGTCTTTTCAAGTCCTAAGGAGGAATGTTTAGTGATCCTAGTCCCTTTGCTTAATTGTACCCAGGCTGCTGTAATGTTTAATAGAAATCATCCTTGGTTGACCTAAAGAGTCAGCCATTGAATGCTTTTCTGTCCTTACTTACCAAAATTCTCTTTTATACTTCGTACTGATGCAGATTATTTATGCAAACAGCAGCCTGGTCCTGCCTGTGCAGAGCCTGGTTCTGCCAGTACAAGAGCCTGGTCCCCCTGGAAGCGGTCATGTGACTGCAGCCCATTACTTGAGCACATCCCTTATCTCCTAGCCTGGAACAGGGCAGCATTGGGGCAGACAGCTGTGGCTCCAGGCCAGAGCTCAGCCTCTCCCAGATCTGTGGCTCTGGGCTCACCTTCCAGACTGAAAGGCAAAGCAGCCGTGGCCTGTTTGGGTTTCTTCTTTGTGTGTGCGCGGGTGTGTTTATTTCTTGGTTTATTTAAGCCGGAGCTTGCCCTGCAGAGAGCTGCAGAGATGTGAGATGTGTGGGATGCATGTGTATGTGTAGGGGATACTCCAGAGAGAGCGGCAATTCTACCTTTTTTCTTTCAGACCTCAACATTCCTCATAGAGAACGTTTTTGAGGGCGAGGAAAGACCTCTACACTGGCCAAGCAAAAGAACCAGGTGATCTGCTTATTTGTTCTTGGGTACTTTGGGGATGCAGAAGTCTACATTATAAATATATGTTATCTAGCAACAGAATAGGGAATGTGTACTCCTTGGAGTTTATTTTATTGCTTTGCAATTTCTCAGATTGATTTTTCTCAAAGACGCTTATTGCAAATCGCTTGCCATTATCTTTAAAAGGCATACAGATGACTTTGCAGCCTGAAGGGTCGTGGCCTCTGTCAAATGAATGTAACATTGGAAAAGGCTGTGGTCACTTGGGTGAGAGCTAGAAAATGAGGGAAGGGATACTTTAAGAAACGCTTCTAGGCCCTTCAAGGTGTGTTCCCCAAGCTCCATTGTACAACTTTATGTTCAGAAATCTGTTTTTAGCTCCCTTGGCCTCTTGTTATCGTAGAGGACCACAGAGTTTCCATCTCTCTGTACGAAAGACAAACAGATTTCCTTGCAACATTCAGGCGTTCTCTTTAGTGATTCAGTGCTTACATACATTGATCAGATTGGAGTCTGAAACCAAGGCGTAGCAAACCTTTTAGCCAACAGACATTTTTGTTCTTTACAATTAAGCAGAGTGGGTCTTCAGGTCTGCCACTGATCAGCTGTGCCACGGATACCATATGTAGTTTCTGAGTCTCTGTTCATCTAAATATGGGAGTGATGATGCCATCTTGATGGCTGCTATGCATAGTAACTGGAATACTGGAAATACAAAGCACCCACTGTGCTGGGTCAATAGTAGTCCCTTAAAAAGGACTGGTGATTTTAGCTGTTATTATTATTACTGGTATAGTATTTTTGCAGATCTTAGTGATCCCAGGAGAAAAGAACCCATATCTTGTGAATCTACAATTATCCCAGAACCTGTGGACACCAAAGGGACTTAGTATCTGGAAGGTCCCAGACAATGCACTTGCAAGGAAGAGATTTGAGCAAACACAAGTTTTCTTTCAACACCTCTACCACAGGGGGTACTCACTCATGCATGCCCCCTCTAAGTCATCAGCTAAGGATTGCTCCTCATTAGTCCTCAGTACAAGTATGTCAGTTCTGAGTTATTATCCCTAGTTCCTTATGAGAAAACTGAGGTGCAGAGGAATTAATGGCTAGCTGAGAAGGATTTAAACTTTGGTTTGTCTGACTTCTAAACCCCAGGCTGCACTGGGCCAGCATTAGGCAGTTAGAAACAGTAGATGTGTTTGAGTTCCTTTCCCTCAAAAGGGTCCCCTACTAGGCTGTTTGGGAAACAGGGGACACTAGAAATTCACAACACACATTAACGTCTTGAAGGTTCTGAGGAATCCTTCAGTAAAAGAGACCTGTGCAATCCTACTTCTCCTGAACTTATTTGATGGTGGGACCTTTTTTCCCTCTTTATTCCTGGAATTATAAACCACATAGAACTACTGTTGTACAAACAAACTTTGGAGCACCTGGCACGAGGCCAAGCTGTCACTTGATCACAATCCTGTCTGATATAACAGCAGATACCTTCAGGCACCTCCTGGTGGTCAGTATAGTTTCCTCCCTTTTCTTAGCCTTCCAGCTAATGAAAGGAAGAAATACCAGCTTAGTCCTACACATCTCCCATTATTAATTTCAGATCCCAGATACAAGCAAATGCTAGTGTTTTACTGAGGAGTAATGGTGGAAGAGGCCTCTCTAACATGGTCTGCTAGGGACTCCTCTACTCTGTGCCTCTTAGTTATATTTAGGTCACAGACATCAGGCTGTAGAACCCCTGTTTCAATGAAGATGGAAGGTAATGCCGGAGGGTGAGCCTGAAGAGGTATCTGTCCTCCATCAGTGGTGCCCACATTTGAGTGACTGTGGGTTCTAGATTTGGGTTCCTTGGGGTCAGAGATAGAGTAGGAACTTCTCACAAAAGCTGGGTTTTCTCTAGGACAAGCTGAATTTCTGGCATGGGAAACCACGCAATTCACATCTAGAATGCCAGAGGTGGACTCAAGGTCAAGGCAACTGAGCCAAAGTATGAGGGTTCAATAGAAATGCACATTGAAATAAAATAATGAGTAAGAACAACTTGGGGAGAGTGGGATAGTGCTCAGAGGGTATTTGACAGCCAAGGTTAGCTTGGCTCCAAGGGCCATCTTTCATTCTTTCCTTGTATTTCCACCTTTGGAAATGAAAAGTGGTTAGGATGAAAAGAACTGAACAACATCAAACGGTTCAACCCTCCACGTCTCCCCCCTCACTCCTCCACACATGCACAGTGAAAACCTTTTAGCAGGAGCCTTAGAAACCTTTCGTTCTGCAAATTATGAGTGCCAATGAATGATGAGTCACTATTTTATGTTTATGCTTAAAAACCATCCTCAGTATATATGTATATATTGGTAGAGGCAGCAGCAGTGGGCAAGTTTCAAGTTGTTGTTTTTTTACCAAGAGCCGCCTTTTCAGTAGTTCGTGTCACTGGCTATGGCATCCTTGGGTCTTTGTGAATTCTGCTCCCTGCCTCTTGAGCTGCAGGAACCCCTTTCAGGTCCCAGGGGACTGTTTCTTCAGAGACTTCTTTAGCACACTAAATGTGTTTCTTTTTAAAAAAAATTTAAAATTTTTATTGTGTTGAGAGAGAGAGGAAAGGGGAGAGGGAGAAACATCTGTTTGTTTTTCCACTTAATTTATGCATTCACTGGTTGATTGTTGTATGTGCCCTGAGGGCAGGATTGAACCCACAACCTTGGCATGTGGGGATGAGCCTCTGACCAACTGAACTACCTGGCCAGGGCTAAATGATTTTCTAATGCTGACAGAGGGCAAGAAATGGAGGAAACTTAGGTTTTCTCATACAATAGAAAATCCCTGAATCATTTTTATCAGCTTTGCAGCTAGCCAGAGATGTCTTCAAAGGCATATGCACGGTTTAAAAACTTGCTTCTCTCTCTGCCTTTAACTGGGAATTTGCAGTCTAGGCTGGGCAGTGTGTGGGAGTAGGAAGCAGCACCTAGCCTTAACCAGCTCTTGTTTTGGCAAGAATTAAAATGAACTTTTTCTTTTTCTTCTTCTTCTTCTTTTTTTTTACTTGTTACCTGAGGGAGAAAAACACTTTAAAAGTAACTTGCTTAATAATTATATTTAATAATGGAAAAATTCTAATAAACTTTTTTTCTAATAATCGAAAGTTCTAGAACAATTCTCATTTCCGTCATGATTTTAAAATTTCCTTTAAAAATAGATGTATATAAGTACTGCCCATTTTCTGGTTTAATGAAAGGTTTAGAATCAAATAGCATCTGTGTACAAAATGATGGACTAATAATTATTTTTAGTTATTAATTAAAAAAACTGTTCCTACCCTCACCCAAGGACATGCTTATTGATTTTAGAGAGGGAAAGAGAGGGACAGAGAGAGGGACAGAAACATCAATATGAGAGAAACATCGATCAGTTGCCTATTGCACATGCCCCAATCAGGGAGTGAATCCTCAGCCCAGGCACATGCCCTGACCAGGAATCCAACCTGTGACCTTTCAGTTTATGGGGCAACACTCCAACCAACTGAGCCATACCAGCCAGGGCTTAATTATTAATTTTTTAAAGGACTCTGGCTTAGAAACATTCATTCATTCATTCAGCATTTATCAAAAATCTGCTTTGTTAAAGGCACTGTGTAGGTGCCTGGAGATTCAGTTAGTGTTTAGAAAGAAAGATACCCTGGGAGTTTACAGTCTAGCAGAAATATATTCAAGTATGATGCTTTTTAGTTCCTAGTGCATATTTTACATGGACTTTTTTTGTATAATGAATTAACCGAGGGGTGGCTGAAAAGCAGATAGATGCCCTAGGAGAGATGTGTTGCTTTATTTCTTTTTCTGGAAAAGGAAAATCGAGACTGAAATATATCACTTTCTATTGTTGAATCAGTGTTTGTTGCCTACTCAATGCCCAACTCATATATTCATAAAAATGGTAAAAAAAATAGCATGAAGATGGAAATGAAGCCCAAGGAAAATATGGAGAACGGTGTTTCTCAAACTGAGATACAGGGAGTGCCTATATCAAAGTCCCCCGAAGGGTGCACTTTTTTAAAAGAATGTATTTATTTATTTTTCAAGAGGGGAGGGGAGGGAGAAAGAAAGGGAGAGAAACATAGATCAGTTGCCTCTCACACACCCCCAACCGGGGACCTGGCCTGCAATCCACGCATGTGCCTTGACTGGGAACAGAATCAGCAATCTTCTAGTTCACAAGCCAGCACTCAGTCCACTGAGCCACTCCAGCCAGGGCTGAAGAGAGCACTTTAGTTGCAGATTCCCAGGCCCCCCAGACTGCTTGAATCCAATACTGGCAGTAAAGCCTGGGAGTGTGCATTTTTAAACAAGTTTCCTCTGGTAAGTCTTAGGACACTCATGTTGGCAAGCACTGATCTAGGCACTTGGATAGGGTCAGCAGGACTGTATGAGCTACTTCAAAGGCTGATGAAGGCCCCAATAGATGTGTTCTCATAGGCACCGCAGATGACCTCAGAGAAATTTCTGAATATGGAGAGAAGAAAGGCAATGTGTAAATAGTGCCCCACTTTCAAAAATGAGAAAAGAGTAGATGCCAGAAGCCACAGCCTTATAAGCCTGACATGACCTCTGGAAAAGTTTTGTACCAAACAGATGGAATCAAAAAGCATTCAGAGGAAAATAAGATGCTCACTAGGCATCATTGTGGGTTTGGTAAAACGTTGTCTCTATCAGAGATTGACAAACTCTGCTACATAGTAGAATCAGCTGGGGAGCTCTAAAAAATCAAGATGCCCAACCCCACCCAAGGGAACCCAGGCATCAGTGTTTTTGAAGCCCCCAGAGATTCTGATTTAATGAGGTGCTTGCTGTCTGAACATTGGCAGTGTTAATAGCTCTCCAGGTGATACTAACAGGCATCAAAAGAATCAGGCCTAGCTCTAACTAGAATAGCTGTTCATTAGGGTTATCATTGTTTTAAAATATTTCCATAATTCAAGTATTTTGCTCATTTTAGTTTTCTCCTTTCCACAGTTAAGATTTCAAAGCTTTTAGTGTAGTGCTAATGAAAAACAGACCTCCCCCTAGTCAGTTGTTTTCTGACTTTGTTCCTGTCAAGAAATGCAAATATATTAGATCAGGTTGGTTTGGAGCATCAACAAATAATGGAAATGTGGGAGCTAAAAAAATAATACTTTTCTTCCCACCTTCTAGGTTCTTCTAGATGGGCCAATAATCAAATTAACAGACACAGATTAACAGGGAAAAAAAATCAAATTTTAATACATGCACATGAGGAATTCACATAAGCATGGAAACTCCAAAGTCAGTGAAGTAAAAATTGGTATATATGTCATTTGGGACAAAGAAGAAAGAGGGGGTGGGGTCTGAGATTTCAAAGGGAGTAGGCAATTTACAGGTAGCTGACGAAGAGGGGAACATACTTTTGCTAGGTAACCCAGAAACAAGGAGAAACAGGGGGCGGTCTAGTAAACAGAACCTTCCTGTCTAACACTAGGTTGATTATGCTAAGGTTCCCCTCCTGAAGCAGCAGGGTTTTTTTTCTATCTGAATCCCTTAGGCAGGAAAGGGGGAGGGTCAAAGGTTCTTTCTAAATCTTTTGTTTCTTAATATCCTGCTTAAAAATTAATGTCCCAAAAGACAAAATTTTTTGGTTCCCTTCAGAAATATCACCCAAAAAAGTGACGAGGAAAGCAATTTTGTTGAAAACTCCCAGGGAGTGATTAAAATCAGTTCAGCAGTTTCCTCTAACGCATCGGAAGTGCTGGTGAGCAAGTGGAGGGTAGGCTTGGAGGGGTCTCAAAAATACTGAAGAGAGCCCTGGCCCATGTGGCTCAGTTGGAGCATGGTCCCTAGACTGAAAGGCAAAAGGTCACGGGTTCGATTCCTGGTCAAGGCATGTGCCTAAGTTGCAGGTTCAGTCTGGTGGGGGCACATACAGGAGGCAACCAATTGATGTTTCTGTCCTCCCTTCTCCTCTCTAAAATTAGCAAGCATGTCCTGGGTGAGGGTTAAAACAAAACAAAACACTACAAAACACAACACTGAGAGAGCTTGTTTAAAAAAGGCGCTCCCACAGATTCTGATACCTTAGTGTAGGGGGGAGGACTTGAGCTTCCTTTTTTTTTTTAAGTAAGTGCCCCAACTGATCAAAGAACTTACTTTGATTTGAATTTTGACATTGTTGTTTAAATGTTGTTTTTGCCTCATAGTCTTCAGTTTGTGGTTTCCAAAGCCCAGATAGACTTAACTATTTTGAACTGAAAATCAAAATTGTTAAATACTGCCAGATCCTTTATATCCTATTCCCTATATTTCAGTTAGAAAATTGTACACTTTTCCATTTCCATTTTCCTTTTCCTTTTCAGTGCTTTATTTTCTACAAACCTTGATGTGACTGAGACATGAGGAAAGTAATTTAAGTATAGCAGAAAAGCAGTCTATAGCCGCTCCATTGCTGCTGCTGTGTTGTGGAAAATAGACCAGGATTAGATGATGCCTGATCACTTTCCACATCACATGATGGCCAGCGGTTGAGAGGAAGCATAAAATGAATCCTACGGATCACTTAGATACCTTGTTGTTAACGGAGCTTCTTTCCCTCCCCTCCCTTTTGTGTATTCCCCATCAGGGTCTGTGACTGAAGTGGCTCAGCTAAGGAGCGGTTCTCACAGCTATTCGCACCATCTGGGAATACGAAAGTGAAGCTTTTTTAACACCATCTAGAAGACATGGGCTGCGGGAGTTCAATTAGAATCAAGAAAACTGCGAAAAGTGAGTGCCAGGAATGTGCCTGTCTTCCTGTTGCAAGGGGAAGAGTGAGCCGATTACCTGTCCCCCTTTCTCATTTACTCACATGGTTGGCTCTGGAGCTGCCTGCCCTGTGTGATTTTGCACAAGGCATCATTGCTCGAACCAAGGTTGAATGTTGGGGTAACATGGGAAAGTACCTTTAAGAAGATGTAGCTTTGAATTTATGATGTGTACCATAAAGTATTATCTCAGAGATATTTTATGTTTGATTTGATTTCAGTTGGAAATGTACCCATATAAAATATCGATTTAAAACTCAGTGGCATGGAACAAGAAAGCCTCTGTAAATTTATATCTGTTTATTCAATGTGCTTATAAATAGATATATTCATGCCTATATAATATTTAATGGTATCATTGAATCTTTATTAGGTTTTATAACTCAGTGATCAGATTTTTTTTCTGCTATTCAACACAGAACTTTATGAGACTTACCTCATGGTTTTAGACTATTCAACACAGAACTTTATGAGACTTACCTCATGGTTTTAGACTATTCTAGATAGAATTTGGGAAGTGCTAGATCATCTGCTTCCCTAAAAGGGTGTTATTTCCAAATAGATGACATGACATGCCTCCCACTACCCCCATATAATTAGAGGCTTAAATATTTCCTTTATTTTGTACTGAGGTTCTTTCTCATAGCTACTAGAATCTAGTTGAAACTCACTTGAGTGTTTGAGACATAGTCTTCATAAGCAAACTAGAATAAAAAAAAACAAGCTGGGACAATTATGTGAATAATTTGCTCTTAAACTCCACTCCTTTGTTATCTAGGTATAAATAATTTTCCCAATTCCTACTCCACATTTTGGTTTTGGAAGTTTACTCAGGCTTAATATGGAGACATTAGGATATAAGTGTTCCATACTAATTAGTGTGAAATGTTTTTCTTTTGGTCTCAAATGCTGTGCTGCCCTCTCCTAGTTGAATTGTGCTGGGGAGTTAACTAGCTTATGTCTGACAGTAGGGACATGGCGGGTGCACTAACTCTTTCAAATCTGTAAGCACATCATAAAATAAATATTTCAAGAGTTTCAAGTGAACTAATTCCATAGTAGTAATTTATTGTAAAAGAGTGAAGAGAGTATCATTTTATATCTAGGTTTACCCAGAGTTCTTTAAATTTAGCTAGATTTCTTTGGTTAAAAAAAAAAAAGGCCAAGCTCAAGCTGTGAAAGTAAGTTCTCTCTTTTAAAAATACTTTTCAACTTTTAAAATGTTACATGTAAATGGAAATATCTTGGATTTTTGGCTTGCTTTTTAAAAAATAATTTATTGAGGTGAAATTACTAACATAAAATGAACCATTTCATAGAGAATAATTCAATGGCATTTGGTACATTCATAATGTTGTATAACCACCACTTTTTAAAAAAGATTTTATGTATTTATTTTTAGAGAGAGGGGAGAGGAAGAAGAAAGAAAGGGAGAGAAACACTGATGTGTGAGAGAAACATCAATTGGTTGCCTTTTGCATGTGCCTGAACTGGGGACCAACCCCACAACCCAGGCATGTGCCCTGCCCTGGAATTGAACTGGTGACCTAATCCTATTCGAGGATTAGGATAGCTGGGTCATATGGTATCAAGGTTTAACATTTGATAACTTTCCAACTGTTTTACCAGGTGACTGCACTAGCAATGCATGATGGTTCCAATTTTTCCACATCCTTGGCAGCACTTGTTATGGTCTGCCCTTTTGATTATCTCCATCTTAAAGGGTATGAAGTATTATTTTATTAGGGTTTTCATTTGCATTTCCCCAATGACTGATATGTTGAGCATCTTTTCATGTGTCTATTGGCCATTTGTAGATCTTCTTTGGAGAAATGTCTATTCAAATCATTTGTCCATTTTTAATTATTTTTGTTGTAAAAATTCATTATATATTCTAGTTACTAGTTCCTTATCAAATATATGATTTGCAGATGTTTTCCCCATTCATTGGGTTGTCTTCTTACTTTCTTAATGATGTCCTTTGAAGGACAAAGGTTTTTAATTTTGATAAATCCAATTCATTTTTTCATTGGTTGTTTGTACTTTTATTTAAGAATTCTTATATCTAAGAATCTACAGTCAAGTCCAAGATTATTTATCCTTATGTTTTCTTCTGAGAGTTTTATCTTTTAGCTCTTACATTTAGGTTTTGATCCACTTTGAGTTAATTTTTCTATATGGTTTGAGGTAGGGGGTACAAATTTATTCTTTGTGTGTGGATATCTATTTGTCCCAGTACCATTTGTTGAAAAGACTGTTCTTTCCCTGTTGAATGGTCTTGACACTATTGTCAGAAATCAATTGACCACAAATGTGAGGGTTTATTTCTGGATTCTAAGTAGTATTCCATGTATGTCCAACCTTGTATCAGTGCTACACTATTTTAATTACTGTAGCTCTTCTTGAAAGTTTTGAAATTGGAGTGAGTCCTTCAGCTGTCTTTTTCAAGATTGTTTCGGCTTTCTGGGTCCCTTTCATTTCCATATGAGTTATAGGATCAATTAGTCAATTTCTCAAAAGAAGCCAGCTGGAATTTTGATGGGGATTGCATTGAATCTGTAGATCAATTTGGGGAGATTGCCATCTTAACGGTTAAATCATCTGTTCATGAACATGGGATGTGTTCCTATTTATTTAGGTCTTCTTTAATTCTTTTCAACAATGTTTTGTAGTGTTCAGAGTTGAAGTTTTACACTTCTTTTGTCAAATTAGCCCAAGTATTTTATTCTTTTTGATCCTATTGTATTGAATAAATGAACTTATTTTCTTAATTTCATTTTTGGATTGTTCATTGCAAGTGTGTAGGAAAACAATGTTTTGTATATTGATCTTGTCTTCTGAATCCTTGCTAAACTCATTTATTAGTTCTCATAGTTTTCAATGGATTCCTCAGGATTTACTGTTTACAAATCATGTCATCTGCAAATAGAGATAGTTCTACTTCTTCCTTTCTACTCTATGCCTTTTATTTCATATTCTTGCCTAATTACCCTGGCTAGGACGTTTGTTACAATGTTGAATAGAAGCATGAAAATAGACATCTTTGTCTTGTTCCTGATCTTGGAGTTGAGAGAAAGCATTGTCTTTCACCTTTAAATATATTAGCTGTGGCTTGTTTGTAAATGCTCTCTATCAGGTTGCAGAAGTTCATTTGTATTCCTAGTATATTGGTTGTTTTTTTACTATTAAGAAATGGAGTTTAATTTTGTCGAATGCTTTATTTGCATGTATAGTTGGCCCTCCGTATCTTGGGTCTCATGTCCATTCATTCAGCCAAACATGGATCAAAAATATGAGAAAGAAAAATATCCCAGAAAGTTTCAACAAGCAAAGCTTGAATTTGCCATGCACTGAGCACCATGCTTAATCCACATGAATGAAGTGATGTGTAGGCATACCATGCTATAGCATATATGCAAATATAGTTTATATGCAAACACTATGCCATTTTATATAGGGGACTTCGGCATCTGCATATTTTGATATCTTTGGGGTCTGGAATTAATCCCCCACAGATACCGAGGGACAATTGTACTGAGATGATCATGTAGTTTTTGTCTTTTATTCTCTGAAATGGTATGCAGTAATTGAATTTTAGATGTTATACCAACTTTGCTGGGATAAATCCTACTTGATTGTGGCATATAATAACCCTTTTTATATGTTGTTGGATTCAGTTTGCTAGTATTTTGCTTAGGATTTTTATATCTGTATTCATAAGAGATATTGATTTATGCGATGTCTTTGTCTGATTTTGATATCAGGGTAATATTGGCCTCAGAAAATGAGTTGGAAAGTTCTCTTGCATTTTTTAGAAGAGTTTATGAAGAATTTGTATTAATTTTTCTTTAAATGTTTGGCAAAATTTGTCAGTGAAGCCATTCGGGCATGGGCTTTTCTTTGTGGGTAGTGTTTTGATGACTTATTCTATAGATCTATTCAGATTTTCTGTTTCTTGTCATTTTCTTTAAAAATTGTTTTAAAAAGCAAAAAAATAAAAATGTCTTTTTCAAGTACAGTTGACATACGATATTATATTAGTTTCCAGTGCACAGCATAGTGATAGACATTTGCATAACTCACAAAATGATCACCCCAAATTCTTGTCATTTTCAATAGTTTGTATCCATTTTGTCTAAGTTATCTAATTTATTAGCATATACTTGTTTCAAGTATTCTCTCATAACTTTTTATTCTTTCATTACCTTCTGTTGAATAGTCAATCAACATTTACTATGATTTCATAATAATAAATCTGCTGAATACTGATGCAATTGTGTTTACTTACATTTATCCATAAGCTAAACATTTTATCCTTAAATTTTTTTCTCGTTCAGAAATATTGTAAAATATAGAAAAGTATTTGGAAATAAATAATACTTCCTCATCATTCTACTATCCAAAGATAATGACTGTTATCACTCTGATAATTTCCTTCCAGTTTTTTTGTTATAGTATAGATATTTATCAGACTAAATATTAATTTTTTATAGCTTTGCTTTTGTCACTAAAACATTGTATATAAACATTTCTCAGGTTGCTTATAAATGCTTTGTAAATATCACTTTAGCCATTACTAAATATTTTACTTAGTGGATACGTCATAATATATTTAATTATTCCTCTAATATTGGATTTTTAAAATAAATATAAATAGCCCTTTGAACAATTTTTTGTAAAGCTTTTTCCTTATTTTGGATTATTCTCATATCCAGGTGATTAGACATGAAATTACTGTATCAAGGGCTATAAATATTTTGAAAACTCTTGATAGAAAGTGATAATTATCTTTTCCTGATTACTAACTACATTCTAGAGAGTGTTAAAAATATTCTACACATATTTTATTTAATCCTTGCAATAAATATAAATCCTCAAGTAAAGTGTTATTATTCCTGTTTGTATAGTTGAAAAGGGTCATGCTCAGTGAGGTAAATATTTGTCAAGGTTATATAACTACAA